TAAAGACAATTTATATTCAAAGAATGCCTGCCACAAAGTTTTCACCTAGCTTTTCATGGTTACAAAACATGGCATCACTAGATCAATTGTACTCCTCTTGGATGTCTTACTAGATTTTGACCTATTCCAGTTAAATGTTCAGAGGTTAGTTGGCTAATAGAGAGACATTAGGACACAATTCAATACGTATTGGCATGCTTGTTATTGAGAACCACACTGATTTAATTAAAGGAAATAAATGTATGAGATGTATCTGTATTTTTATGGGTTCCAAGTCTATTCCAACACACAGAAAGATGTGAGTCGTCCAGATCAATACAACATACCATCCCTCAAAGCGCTGATTGAAATAGTGACTGATGAATGGTGCCACAGCTTTATCCTACCCCTGAACACTTTGGTGGAAATGCCAATTCACTGGAAGACCGAAGCAATCACTCTCAGAGCTTCTTCTGTAAAAATAAATCAGTGGGTCCTTTCTTCTGAGTAGTTGAAATGCAGTCGTTCAGCACAACTACATAAGCAAAAATGGCCAAACAAGTAACTATGTAGGGTTCAGAGTAGAGTTAAAAGACTAGCTCAATCTTAGGTTTAAATAAGCGTGTTCACTTTCTTGCAAAGAGTCTGATGAGCAGATTAATATCATTCTACTGTAGATTCAAGATGAGATGTGTAGATTGTATAATGAGATACGTGAAGACCAATAGCAATAACAAGCCTGTGTACCAATATCCAAAATTGGCTAATGCCACTCAATATTCATCTAAAATGTACGCCTAAAACTCAATGAAGGAGTTATCTAAATGTAATGTTGATACAAAATGTATTGCAAAGCCAATTTATTTTGGAAATAATGATTGCGATGAACCTTTACAAAGTGGCACAACATGAAATGGGATTAGAAAGATGTTATGTGATTTTGATCTTGGATCCATTATTTGAAATGTTGTGTCGATGCTATTGTTGAGTTAGAGCAGCAGAACTATTAGCATTATTTGGCTCAAAGTGTCCTGCATAAAGAAAACAACAGGCACCCAAATAGTGAGCCCTGTGGCACACCAGATGTGAACAAATGTAATCCACATTGATTAAGAGTAGGCATGTGTTAAGATTCACTTCATGCTAAAATGTTAACAGAAAAGACTATAGTTTGTTGACCATGTATCAAACACCATCAATAATGATCCACCAAAATTGAACCACGTCTGTGTTCTTTATTCGTAACCTGGGAAGTTTAAAAAGTGTCAGGACGACACGAATGACCTTTCTCAATGTTTGTTTTGCAAATTTTAAAGATGAAAGCTGCCTTTTGAAAAGGGTTTTTTATTATGATGCCAATACAATTCTTCTAAAGCCGGGGGATCAAAGGGTAAGGCTGAACATTTGGCCTCTTTTGAAGCCGTGGAAAGGCAGCAATTCACAACTGAGAAAAATGTCAAGTGTACATTTGGTACATCAATCCTCAGAACAAAGTGTATTAAATAAATATAGTAATTATTATTATCAATAATCAGCAAGTGAAGACGTGTGTGCAATCACTGCTGGTGCTTGTTTCTTAAAAGTCTATTAATCCTTTGTGTGGATGATTTTCTATTCCAGAAAGCCTACTTCTACCTGATTTGTACAGCATAGCTGAATTCTAATGTGATTAATAGTTTGCATTGCAAATACAGCAACGTGATGTGATTTCTGAATATATTTCGACCCCTTCTCTGTGCCATGATTCTAACTGAAGCCCACTCAAATGTCAAGCCACAATTGGCAAATATTAAGATTTAGTCACGAACAAGTCAGCTTTAATCTACAATTAAAATATTGGCTCCGTGAGCACTTTTAATTGCAGCATGGTTCTATCAATGGCAATACAGTTCTGGGTCTGGTTGGTCCACCACTTTGGATTTTAATCATCCATACTGACAAATCTCAACACCTATTTAAGCATTTGCATGAAATGTTGTACGACTATTGTCTTTTTGGAGATACACTGACAATCTCCAATGTTTCTCCAATAAGGACTTTGGGAAATGACTGGAGATGGGACAGATGTGGGATCAGAAAAGGGAGTAGGTTGTGTATTTTAAATATTTCTCTAAATAAAAGATGGTACAGCAGTGGATGTTTTTAGCTCATCCCTGTTACTCATGCCCAACTAAACGCCTCCTGGCAAAGAGTCAGTCATTTGTTTGACATTTGGTTACATTCCTCCACAAATATTAGGTGGATTGTCCTTGTTCAAATTCACATCACCAACAAGATGATCTGTAAAACTTAAATGTTTTGTGAACATTTATTATTAGGATTTCATTTACTCCAATAGGCCTAATGTTAATCAAGAATGGCTTGGTCTTGTTCATTTAATTTAATTGAAAAAAAATCTCCTCCATTATTTGTAATGTGCTTTTGCCTTTCAGCCCTTTTGTGAAGGATGTCTGGAATTAAGAATTGCTTGTTGGTCTTGATATGATGGGGCATGATCGTATATCACACAGGACTCTTGTTTGCCATTGTGGCCTGGCAATGCGCTGTGTACCATCAGTCAGACAAAATCAATATGCAGCCTGGCGGATGCAGCTGTGCATGTAAAATATAATTATTTAACTTTGTTTGTTTTGACAAGGACTGCATCTCTCATATCGCTCAATATAAAATCAGCATTTAAGAATTTAAACTCCTATGCGGCATCGCACATATGTATTTCTCTCTCTCTCTCTCTCTCTCTCTCTCTCTCTCTCTCTCTCTCTCTCTCTCTCTCTCTCTCTCTCTCTCTCTCTCTCTCTCTCTCTCTATACCTATACCTATAGGATGTTGGGATTGTTGTTTTCTCATTCTGGTCTGTATCATTATTTTCAGTTGGTCATCCAGCTAGAAAAACACAATCCTCCGGAGACATACCTGGCTTACAGTACATGAATGACATGCTTCCTTTGCTTTACAATACATCTCTGAAAACCCATACTTCCTGTTCGGTCCACAGCCATGAAATAATAATCCCATTTATTTTAACACTCTAGTCATGCACAGCAGACATGGAAAGAAAATTGGAACTTCACCAGAAAATGACACATTTAGGTGTTTTCACTGTGGGTCATGACAGGAGTGAATATAACACACTGGGATTGACTTGTCATGTGTGTTTACCTCTGCAGTTTCACTTCAGTTCAAGACAGGAAGATCAATAAAGGGATAATAGACCCGAACACAGTTTTGAGTTAATGCTCAGCGGACAACCTGCATGCGCACGTTACATTTGTTTTATGGTACGCTCTATAAATTGCATTCATTGGATATGAAGTGACCATTTCCTTCTCTGGATGTAAACACTACCATTTGCTAAATCATCTAAAGGCAAGATATGACTTCAATGTGCTTTGGGAGAACATAGGGAACATAAGAAAAAACCCCATGAAGGCAGCATTTGCTCTGGTGGTGATAAACATTCTCTGTATGAGCCATCCCTTCATCCTTATCATCATACCTCATGAATTCCCACCACTTGTCTAAAATTGGACACCCTGGTGAGTCTGCCTACTGCAGCCCTTCCTCCTCCTCGCCTCCCTCCCTCTCCCTCAGCAGGGTAACCCACCGGACAAATATAAACCTGTGTGTGATTCAATAATCAAAAGACGGGGATTATTCTCATTTAGGGGACGCACGGCTCTCTAGATGTTGGTTGCCATGGATTTCTCTCAAAAGCTTTTTTTGTATAATGGCACACCCACTTCTGATGTCATTGTTAGAGGAGGGGGAGAGGATGGAGTTGAGAGAGAGAGAGAGGAAGGAGGGAGGGATGGAGGGGAGGCAGCCTGTTGCTCATGATCATCAAATAACCTCCCCGTACTCCACATGCATAGTGCCTGTGTTCGGATGGAGCAGGCGCTGAAAACACATTTTTTTTCTTCATGTGCATTCTTCTCTGTGCCTTCAGCAAACTAACAGCTGCTCAGGAACTGAATCTGGAGCACAGTGAGTATTTTGATTTCTATTTTACAATACTGTGCGTATTAATAATACATTAAGACGCACACTCTAAGTGGCACTTTGAGAGTTTGTCACATGCTGCGCAGCGTTCGTTTCCACAGAAAGAAGTTGGAGATGACAGGGCTGACTGACATTTTCTGCTGATTTCCTAAGGGTTGATATGAGGAAAATTGTTTGTTTATCATGTCGTTACTTAGTGCGTGTTACAGTAGATAACCACCTTCACGTCTATGGTTTTGTTTCCACTTAAAAACAAATCTGATCTATGCAAGCAGTGCTTCTTACTGTCATGTAATATTCTGACAGAAGAAGTGACCACTTTGGATTAAAAGTGGTATTACTTTATTTTATTTTTGTATTTATGTCACTAACATACATTTGTACGTAACATTAAGCTGTCTTTGGCTCTTTTTCAGCTGTAACAATGTACATTTCCCCTCTGCGGGACTAATAAAGGTATTCTGATTCTGATATGGCAGTTATTTGCGGATGAATACCCTTACTCTACACCATGGTAACAAGACGCTTCATTATGATCTGTCAACATTTACCGATATTTCATCGGAGAAAAGGTCCACTGCTGCAAAGACACATTTTCGCAACTATTCATTAATGCAGAGTTTAAACTAGCTGCAACTTAAAACAAAAATGTAAAAAGCATAGTCACTTTTCAATCTGAGAGCCACTTTAAGTCCTCAAACAGTGATTCAGTGCTGATGTTATGTTTCCGTAAGTGGTCATTTTCAGTACAGCACACGGTCTCTCTTTGAAGATTATGCCCCATAATGTGATTATAGTTCCACAACGCAAATGGCTCTTTCACTTTGGATCGGTGATATATGATACGTGATACTACATCATTCTCTCTCCCTCCTCCAGGTAATTGTGACTGTAATGAGATGAACTAATGACTATCAGCGACCGGTCTGATTCTCCCCCACAAAGAAAGGGTCGGCAAACTAATTATAATCTGCTATTCCCAGGTGTCTCGAGGGAACCTGAGATACATATCATGAAGTGTCATTAAAACGGATCGAAGTGTCACTGTCACCAGCAACTCTATTTCCCAGGAGGACCGGGGTGTGAAGCTACACAAACAGACCTTTGCTCAAGGCTCAGAGTCAACACCAATTGAGGGATGGGTGTGCTTTGAAATGTAAGTAGGATCACGTTTTTTCACAGGCTTTGCAAATTTAAAAGAAAAAATGTCCTCTCTCAACATTGAATTATTTGCACCTTTTTCATTTCATTTCAGTTTCGTATTTTGTTTTCTGATTTTAAACACTATCATCTGCCATATCATGTGAAGACAAGACATGACTTCAATGGCAATTTGGAACAAAAGATCAGAAGCATTAAACAAAAACGTAAAGGCTCTGATGGTGATAATCATTTCCTGTATGAGACATCCCTTCGTCCCTATCATCAAACATCCGATTTCTGTCACAGCGTTCTGCCAAGACATTGAGTCTGCATATTTGATGCATATTTTGATGAGATTTCTTATCACTTTTTATCAATCCACTCCAAATTACAACTGTCACTTGCAGCTTTTCTCATATGGCATGGACTGTCATTTTCTGTGTCTAGAAGTCTATAACTTTCTGCACTCAACATCAACACTTTAAGTGTATACGCATCAAGTGGGGACTCTTCATTCTTTCCAGCCATCAAACAAAGCCAGACTGTAATCCCTGTGTGGTTATTTGTCTGTTCCATTTATTCCATCTCCTCAACTAAAGCCCTTTTTCACTGTCAGTGTAATGGTGTGAAGAGTTTTCCATCACCTGTCTTTGATCGGGCAGTGCCTGTATGTTTCTGTCACCTCATCCCGCAGAGATGTGCACTGAGTACCGCTGCAGAAAGCCTTTGAAAACACTCGATCCAAAGTGACAGACAGACCGTCTTCACAGTGATGAGGTGCCTGCACTCGCCCCGGCCTCAGCGCCACTTTTCTTATCAGCCTGTGAAAAATACATTCTATACATGATTTCAGATCTGCAGAAAAAAAGAACATCAAAAATGAAAATACACACAGACAATGCAGAGAACTTAATGTTACGCAATCTTTATATAATCAGCACATATGGTGAGTGTACAATCATCCACTCAGGCAGGACACATTTAAATAAACCGGAAATAGTCGGTAAAGGTGGAAAGGGGATGGTGAGATGTTTTGTAGGTTTATTACATATAGTCAAACAGAACAATAATTATTATTGTAGAGTTTGCTGGGGTTAGGAGGAGCGGTGCTGAGGCATAATGTGCAGTGATGCAGATATGTTGGGATTTGCCCGGATTGCTCAGACTTTAGGGGGGATTTGTTGGGGTAGAATTAAACTGTCCACAGGAAATGACAGAGGTGTGATGCTTCTCATTTGCTCTTTGTTGCGGAGACATTTATTTCAAAAGTTTGTCCTTTTTTAAGCATTTAAGGGGCCCTATTATGCTTTTTGGGGTTTCCCCTTTCCTTTAGTGTGTTATATAGGTTTTAGTGCATGTACATGGTCTGCAGAGGCTCAATTCCCAAAGTCCCCCCCCCCCCCCCCCCCCTCTGCTTGCCTGAAATGCCTCAATTGTAGTCCTTTGTTTACTTCAAAAACGTAGTGACATCACTCTGTAACACCTGTGCTGCTATTGGTTAGCGCTCCAACACACGTGTATATGGTTAGCTAAGGGGCGGGACTTCTCTAAATGATTGAGCAATCACAACAGAGCTGGCCAGCTCACCAATCAGAGCAGACTGGGCTCTGGTTTCAGACAGAGGGTGAAAAGAGGTGCTGCAGCACAGGCAGTATGAGGAAAATAAAGACCTTTTTAAAGCGTATTAAACATGTTACAGTAGGAGCACAACATATAAATATTAATCTGAAAATAAGCATAACAGGATCAATAAGATCATGCAGATATTTCAAGAAAAGGATAGCTGTTTTAGATGCGCTGCACTTTTTAAGCACATGTGTGGGTTGAAGTTGAAATGGTTAAGAACACAAAATAAGCAATGTTCATGCTAACATTGCTCATTATTTACATTTGGTTTGATATCCACAGCGTACTTCTCTGCTCTCAGAACCGGAGAGCAGCGCAGTGTGGTGGACCACATCGAGAGTTAGGGAGACATTTACTGCCCCGGAGCTGTTTCTTCTTCCAGGGATTTCAGTATGCATTAATGCCGCCCACTAACAACAACACAAAAATACATTTATGTGTACAACTATTCCTGCTGGAATTACTGTAAGAAAATGGCTTTTGCCTTTTCAGCTTCAGGAACAGCTTCGGGCAGGCCTGACCTTTACTAGATTCCTGAGGGAGAGAGAGAATGAGACAGACGTCTCTGTGGTTTCAAGTCCATTTCTGCTAAAACCATCCTCTAATAGTCCATTAGAGAACAGTGGGTTGTTAAGGGAACAGGAGGAGAAATGTTGTTGAGAATAAAGGGACATCGTGTGATCTGAATGGTCATTTAGCCTGAGAGAGTACTGAAGCATCTCAGTAAAGAGCGTTCTTTTACTGTACAATCATGCGTTATTGCTATGTTCATTGAATATGGTTCTTAGGTTGTGTACACGAAAATGAAGACGGCGCTCTAACAAGCTGTCACCGGAAGGCTAACAGCTGGTAAATATGCTTCACTGTAATTGTGAGTCTCTGAGGTTCAGACTTTTCCTCTGAAATGATCAGCCGCTTAATTACCATGTGTTTGTGTTTCACAGACTGAGTCGAGTTGAATTGCAAATCCTCCATTCAGAGAGAGATTGGAAAAATCTGTCCAATTCTGACTCTTTGCAAATTACGCATCCCATGCGCAGATATGCAGCCATAAATAGCAATGATTATTAATAAATGAACTATTCATGTTGATTTGCACATGTTCTCCAAAGAGAGAAAAGATGCTATATGCCAGATTATAACAAAAAGCTAATATCCATATATATTTCTGCTGAAGCTGCTTCCTCTGAGACCGACTCTGGATACGCGGTTGACGACGGATGGCTTATATCCATCTTGAATCCTAAATCATAACAATCCTTACTGAACAGGAATGTTCTACAAATTGCTCTGCAGACCAACAGCTTCTAAAGGCCTCAGAAATATTTGAAGCATCAACCTTGCAGTGCTCGGTATCATTATGGGGCTCATTAAATTAATTTCAATGAGTATTGGCGGTAGTGAAGCTCTCCAAAGACTCTCGAGGAGTGCACTGTGGGAAATGCATACTCAATGCAGTACGGCAACAGAGACTCGCAACCCTGTGAGTCACCAGGCAATCTGGAGAACATGCCCTGTGGCTTAGCTGTGATAACGCTGGCACAGAGAGAGGCCAGACCTTAGCCGATCTGGAGGGGGAGAACAGCCCTCGCTGTCTTTGCACTGCTTCATCTCTCCTTCCCAGATAGACTGCATCCCCCAGAGGAGACATCTGAGGCACAACAGAGCAGAGAAAAAACAACATGTTGTAAAAAAAATGCTCCTGCGACTGTACAGAGAGGCAAAAGCACAGTCGGTTTGAAGGCAAAGTGAGAAATCAAACAGCCTCAAGGGGTTAAGTGTGATTTAATCTAGAGGGAGAGCAGGGGAGGCCTGAGCACATGAGCACTGGTGATGCATTGAGGGCGTATCGATAACCTCCGCTGCATGGAGGAAGAATGTGAGAATTGACGGATTTGTAGCAGCAAAAAGCAGGGATTTTACACTGTTTGGATAAATGATTTTCATGCTTGTGTTTTGGTTGTTATGGACAATTGTTGATTTGATAGACAATAACTGAACTCAAAATATGGAGAATGTGCAGATGTAAGGGTTTCCAAAAGAGACATATTCCTATCTAATAATGCACAAAATCAGTTTGGGAGAGAAGACCTTTGGGGTATATTGCTTTAATTTCATGGATGGAAAACGATGCTGACTGTAATCAGCGCTCACAGAGGCTGACAGTGCAGGTGCCTAATAAGCATTCAGTGACACATCCATGTACCGTTTTAGAAAGCGAGGCCTCCCTCCTGACCGAGAATAGGTGGTGCTGCAAATCAAGGCAGTGACATTTTAATTCCTGACTTGCTAACCGGCCTCCCCCTAAATTACTGTAATTGATTAAATTAGTTTGGACACAGGCCACAAGGTCCTCACTGCACTGGTGACAAACCCCCACAGTAAACATTTTCTCCTTCCTTCTCTCTCCTATTTTTAGATGTATTTACTATGTAGATCTATTTCTTTTTATTTTCAAAAACAATGCAATGCCAAGAACAAACTATGAAAATATTGGTGAGTCAGAACACACCTTTTAGTGTATTAGAAAACCACGCAATACAATATATTTAAAGGGGCCCCATTCTGCTCATCCTCAGGTTCTTATTTGTGTGTAGTGTCTCTACTGTCACGTGTCTCCAAGCGAGAGTGTTACATATAGGGATGTCACTATGTTAAGGAAGTAAACAAAATTGTCCAATTGAGGCATTTCCGCCAGGGGAGTGTGTGGGAGAGAAATCTATTTTTGATTTTTGCCTTTGCAGACCATTTACATGCACAAAAACCTATATAACACATGTCGTAGCAACTTAAAATCAGCTGCGGTCTTAGCGTAAAAGATGAGTTAGGCAAATATGCGAAAGAACACAATATCGATATCAAGTATTTTGAGATCTTCTTTTAGGCGGTGTTTACACGAGAACGAAACGGGTTGTATCCGCTACTTTTCTCGCGCGTTCGTTCACACGAGGCCGTAACGGAACCGCGGAAACGGACCCCGCAAACGATAACGGGTCCCAAGGTGGATAGATCTGCGGACGGAACGCTCTGGGGGGCCAAACGGCTCCGTGTGTACGCCCTATACCAGGGGTGTGAAACTCAAGGCCCGGGGGCCAAATCCGGCCCGCGACTTCATTTAATGTGGCCCCACAAGAGATTGCAAAGAATATAATATGTTTATTATATGGTTACATGGCGATTTACAGAAGCACGTTGCCCATACATGGAGCACAATGCTTCTCAAATGTGACTTTTCCTCAGAATTTCCCTTTTTCTCTTCAAAATATGCCTTTTTTTTATATTTTGACTTTTTTTTCCAGAATGTGCTTTTCTTTTTAAATCATTTTGTGACATTCTCACTGAACAGACTTGCAATTATTTGCCCTAGACTTCTGCTTTCAGACTTAGTTAATTATGAAGTTATTACCCTATCCGATAACAATCCAATGCAGAGGCAATAATGTAATATAATACATTATTTTATATATATTAAATATTTATATATGTATTTTTATATAGTCTTAATGTTACAACCGGCCCTTTTGAGTGCAACCATAATGCGAATGTGGCCCGCGATGAAATTGAGTTTGACACCCCTGCCCTATACAATCATTTCCTGATAACGATGAAGCCATAGCCCCGCCTCTCCCCACCTCTGCTGCTCACTGCTGTAGCATGGTCAGTAGCTACTGTCAGTAGCTACTGACCATGCTACAGATGTTAGTGCAAAATCTACAGCTCCTCTACCACAACCATCAGCAACAAGTGGACATGGAGAATTACATGAACTACATGTTGCTAAATCTACCGCGGGGCATAAACAGAAGGGCAACCAGGCAACCATGGCAACCATGCTCGGGGGTCTTCTTCGCTGCTTTTGGTGTATTTTGTGGCAGAAGTACAGCGTCACTTACAGGTCCGGCATATGTACTACAGCGTCTCCAGCGCTTTTGAGCGGTCTCGTGCGGAAGTACAGCGCCACTTACAGGCCCGGCATATGTACTACAGCGTTTCCAGTGGTCTCGTGTGAACGGACACGTTAAATGAGCCAGATGGTTTGCCTCATGGCACAACACTGTATGCTAAAACTCACACCCCACAAAGAACAATGGGATACACAGACAACCCCCAATCGTAAACTCCTTCCACTCATCCTCTCTTCCTGTAGTGTCATAAAACCCCCTTGCAAAGACATCTGTTATCACACACACATTGCTATGCCATTTCCAGGCATCAGCAGTTACATTACATTAGGATTACACTATATTAAGCTTTAATACCATATTTCATATTTGCCATAACACACCACAGGAAAGGAAATACTCCAAAAAGCATAATAGGGCCTCTTTAATGCTGTAAATACTCTTTAAATATCTACATGATTGTGAGTCAGAACACACCTAAACCAACACCTTTTAGTGTTTTTGAAAGCCGCCCAATGCAACAGAATTATAATACGTAACCAGACATTTTAGTGTTTAATTATAGCTTCCTCTGTGTCTGCACAAAACCGTTACATCAGTGAATTATCCAACAACAGTCAGGACAACATCAGACACATTGTTTATCTCCAGGCTGCAGTGGGTAACAGCTGTTCGTGCAGACTGTTGGGAATGAAATAGTTTTCCCTCGTTGCCTGATGTACTTAGATCAGTGATCATGTGTAATTGCGCATAACTGACATGTTCATAGTGCTAAGATAATGGCACTTGGCATGTTTGTTTTTCTAATAAGATTGGGGGTTGTAGGTATTGAAGCTTAACTCAATTCAAGTCTGTGCACCCATGGGACCGATATGTCTTAATTTTGTTTGGAGCACACCATCCTTGTTTTGACTCAACATTTGAAAACTATTTACAACCCTCTTGTTGACAGTGATGTAATCTTTAGGACATTTTGGGAAATATGCTTGATAGCCTTCCTGCCAAAAGTGACATGAGCAGTTGAATGGGCCCACATCTCTCATCAACTTGTGTATGTCAAACTTTTCCTTTCACTTTTTGTCCATATAAACCAGTAAATGGAGCCATGTAGACTTGCATGTTCGAAAAAGCTAAACTATATTTGTTTAACCCTCCTGTTGTCTTCGGGTCAAATCTGACCGATTTACTACTTTCATCAATCATAACTTTTTTGTAACACAGTAGACATTTGAACATATAAAATTGCTGATCACCACTTTCATTGAAATTTGGATGATTTAGTCAACTTTGTAACACCCATGGTGTTCCCGGTCAAAAATGACCGCCACAAAGAAAAGGAATTAGTAACCATCCGGATCAGATAAAACACACACACACACACACACACACACACACACACACACACACACACACACACACACACACACACACACACACACACACACACACACACACACACACACACACACACACATTATAGATGTGTTCCCCCCCTTATGGGCCCAATCCCCCCATGTGAATCACACCTGGCACTCACAAACACACACACACACACACACACACACACACACACACACACACACACATTATAGATGTGTTCCCCCCCTTATGGGCCCAATCCCCCCATGTGAATCACACCTGGCACACACACACAAACACACACACACACACACACACACACACACAGAACCATTTGACACATTTCCCGCTCTTATGTGCCCATCCCCCCACATGGATCACACCTGGCACACGCAGTACATGTTCAGTGTCTGTTCTTTGTATATTTACTGCAGTTTTTCATGTATACCAGTAGTCTGATACAATATGTACAGTTTGAAAGGGTGTTAAATGAAATGTGGTGATGATTAATGGGTGTTGTGTTAATGTAATAGCAGTTAAAACAGGACCGGTCAAATCTGACCGCGAACACCAAAGTAAGGGGGGGGAACGAAGACAATAGGAGGGTTAAAAGAGGCCAAATTATGCTTTTTGGGGGTTTCCCTATCCTGTAGTGTGTTATAAAGGTTTGTCTGCATGTAAAGGGTCTACAAAGGCTACAATCCCAAAGTTCCCTCCAGAGGAATTTGCACAAAATACAAATATGAACCTGTAAATGAGCATAAAAGAGCCGCTTTAAAAATCAACCTTTTGTTCCTATGGATCAGCACTGAATTTCCAGATCTATAATAATGTTTGTGTTATGATTGCACATCTTATTATTGTATAATTGTACCTTAAATCTGGCTTGATATGTGTTGTTAAGCCATTGAATAACCTTTGTTTACAATAAACACACAAAGTTTTAATCACAGGAATAAGTTTAGTTTACCGAATCACAATCTGTATGCAGTGATTTAATGCAAATTAAAGTCAAACTTACTACCTAAAAAGCTTACATATAGTATTACTATAATAATATGCTATGATAATATTGTTCCCCATAACAAATTGGACATGCTCTTTGTGGTGTAATATTTCAAGCAGGTTTCGGGTTTTCATTACATTTCTCCAGTGCGTGGGTTGCTCTGCAGGCAGAAATTGCATACACATTTCTTCATAAAATGACAAGTGGCTATTAGAATTAAAATTACAACAATCTAAGAGCCTTCTGCTGCAATAATGTGGGATTGTGCTACTACTCAGTCTCGGCTTAAAGGTCCCATGTCATGGCCATTTCTACTGATCATAATTCCATTGTTGAGGTCTACTAAAATAGATTTATATTGTGCAATTTTCCAAACTCACATTGGTTTCTCATACAGCATCTCTGTATAGTATGTGTATTCACCGGTATTCACTCTAAACAGCTTGTTGGAGCTCCTGCCCCCCCCCCCTCCCTCCCTGTGAGCCCAGTGTGCTCTGATTGGTCGGGACGTTGCGAGGCTCGCTGCTCAGTGAGCTGGCTTACTGGTGTGGTTTCCGGGTCGGCGATACAGCGAGACAGCGCGAAACTCATCCTGAGCACACACAAACACGCACAGCCGAAGTAAACACAATAAGTGTGGCTTGATATTGAGTAAGAAAAAGATTTATAAACGCTGTGAGAATGGGTCTGCAGAGAGCATTTCTCCGCGATCCCAACTCGTCTATTACCAACCAGGGAGCTCTATGCAAGTCAATGGGACTCCCTGTTAGTTGAAAATGTACGCTAAAGGTCCTGGTGTGTGAAGAGCTCCGCGGATTGGTCCATTTTGGTTCCGGGAACAAATGGAAAAAGAGAAATCTCCAACGAGGCGTTCTGGGGCAGCATAGACAGGTCTTTTCTGTGTTAGAGTTTTACTCGCTACAGGGTGTACTTTGAGGGGTTTTGACTCTGCAGACCGTTTACATGCATACAAACCTTCATAACACACAAGGGGACGGGTAATAACCGGAAAAGCATGACATGGGACCTTTAAAGGGTAACCACTGTAGATGTTTTAATGGTGTGATATTGAAGAAAACAGTGTCGGTATGGCTCCAACATGAAGGGGAACGCCATCTATATTTAGATTTCCAATATGTTATTTCCAGCGCATGGCAAAGTTCAATCCATATTTGTGAACATGAGCTACTCTCTATCAATGCCAGAAAATGGAATGTCAAAAAGTATGAAGTCTGGAGCTGTTTGCCTAGAAGAAATGAATGGGAAACCACCAAGTTTTCTTTTCATACACAAATGTGCTTTATGCTATTGTATTGATCTCTGTTTGAAAAAATAAATAAACTATTACACTCATAACATTCCCTTGGTAGCTTGTATGGATCAAATTCATCCATACAGTTTTTCACAATCAATTGAATTCTCTGTTTGAGAACTATTGTAGTACTTGATTATTTAAAATGTTTGACTTATAGTGCTCTAGTTTTTAGATTTGGGAGAGAGATGTTTATGTTAACTTTATGTTTTAGACCGTAAGAATAACATGTATGACTGTTGTACTTATTTATTTAATACAGACAAGAGACACAAATAAGGACACAACAGTGTTGATGAGATGCTACCAACTAATAAAAAGCAATAACAGTAAAAACAATCGTAAAAAAACAAGGATAAAAGACGGATCCCTTCAAGTCATATTTCAGATAAATATGTTGACAGTCCAATCCTTATTTTTTTTAAATGAGGCATGGTTTCCATTGAACTCCCACTGTCAAGTTGAGTTTAGGTAGACCACATCAAATCTGCTTCACTGTTTTTTATATTACTTTATGTGTAATCTGTTCCTTCTCTGTTTCCTGTGAAGGTGTTGGTGTGATGGTGTCAGATTGAGCCCCGGGATGTGAGTGGACCAGTAAACATGACCCTGTTGGCGGGCGATGGCTCCGACTACGACTATAGTGCCCTGAGCTGCGCCTCCGATTCCTCCTTCAACTGCCCTCCCCTTCACGAGGAGGAGGCCATAAAGGGAGCTTTCTACAAGAGGGCGCAGAAAGCCCCTGACCTCGGCTCCATCCACGAGGAAACTCTCCTGTCCAGCGCCCGAAAGCTCTACGCCATCATCAATGTGGGAGGCCTTCGCTACCAGCTGCCCTGGACCACGCTGGAGGACTTCCCCCTGTCCCGCCTGGGCCAGCTCCACCTCTGCAGCAGCTTCGACGAGATCATGTGCATCTGTGACGACTACGACGTCACGCACAATGAGTTCTTCTTCGACCGCAACCCCTGTGCCTTCAGGACCATCCTGACCTTCCTGCGAGCCGGGAAGCTGCGTTCCCTCAGGGAGATGTGCGCCCTTTCCTTCAGGGAGGAGCTGCTGTACTGGGGGGTTCCTGAGGAGAGCCTGGAGTGGTGCTGCAGGAGGCGTCTGCTGCAGCGAGTGGAAGAGGTGGAGGCCATGGAGAGGGCGGAGGAGGAGGAGGAGCTCCTGGAGGACATGATGGAGACGGACAGTGGACACAGGGAGCATGCAGCAGAGACCAGAGTCAACAGGTGCATGAGCCAACTCAGAGACATGGTGGAGAGGCCTCACTCAGGCCTGCCGGGGAAGATCTTCGCCTGTTTGTCCGTTCTGTTTGTCACCATCACTGCCGTCAACCTGTCCATCAGCACCATGCCCGCCATGAGGGAAGAGGAGGAGGCGGTGAGTAAGAGAATCACATCTACCTAGTGGGGTCACATGTTTAAAGGTCACCTATTGTGCAAAATCCACTTCTTCATGTCTCTTCTACATCAACATGTGTCCCCTCTGTGTAAAGAGATTCTGAAAGTTTCAGGAAAAAAGATTCTCTCTCTTTTTGTCCTGATCCATTTATATAAAAACCTGTCTGAAAATGAGCTGATCAGATTTTGGCCACTTTATGATGTCATAACGATTTTTTGGCTTGTGTAACCATTAGCCAATCACCAACCAAGGTAACCCCCCCCCCCACCTTATCACCTGAATCTCCTCCTAGAGCACCATTGTGTTCTTTTTAACCAAATATCTCTCAGAGGGGCGTGGGGAGGGGCTCCTTATTTTCATCTAAAGTAACAGACAGAGAATCAGCACTTTTGAAACAGGGCTGAAACAGAGGGGATTATGGGACGCTGCAATGATCTGTTTGGTGTTTGGAGCCAAACACTTCAGAGACATGTTTTGTATATATCTGAGACCTATAATATATTGATGAAAAACAGTATAATGGGAGACCTTTATAATTTATAATTTGGGGATAGATCAATCAATCAAAATACTTTATTAATCCCAGGAGAAATTAGGTTTCCTGACAATTAAACCATATATAAAAAAATGATGTGGTCCTCTGCTCGGAGGTTCGGACACACACACCTGCCTGAAATGCTTCCATTGGTCTCCTTTGTTTACTTCAGTAACAAAGTGACATCACTGTGTAACTCTTGCGCTTCTATTGGCTATTACTTCAAGATAGGCTAAGGGGCCGGACATCTCTAAGCGGTTGACCAATCAAGGAAGTTGGGTCAAACTTTGTAATATGATTAATCTGTGTAAATGTATACGAGCGTCACAAGTTAACGCCTTACCATTAAAACCCCTTCATTTTAAATATCACGAAAAGTGTTTTCACATCAGTTAGGAAAACAATAAATGGAGACAGGACTCAACACAACTCCATTGTCTGTTGAGGATTTGTCTTTCAGGCATGAAAATGAATATTTGAACCCCATGCTGTGTTGGGATTGGCTTTGTCTGAGCTGTATTCAGAAGCTTAACTGAGGTTAATTGATGTGTAATTTTGAAAAGCAGTCATTAGAGAATCCTAATGATGGCATGTCCCAGCTGTCATGTCATTTAAAAAACCCTCGCAGCGAGAAAAGGGCGACTGCTGAGAGAGCAGGTTGTTCTGCCAGATAAGAGAAAAATATTTGAAGAGTGTGCTTTTATTATTATGTTTCACTCCTAACCATAATTAGCACATAGCTGCATCAAAGGAAAATTGAATATTAGAGCCACACACATTTGATGAATTTATTCATTTAGATACTACACTTTACTTTCTATTTCAAAAACATATTTTAGTGGTTTTCAAATGTTCCACTTTCACTCCTTGTCAGGGAATCAAGTGCAGGTACTGCATGTGTGGTAGTGTCAGTGGGCGGAGGGCAACACCAAATCTCAACGTTTTTTATTTGAGAGTTACTCATAGCCACATTTCCTGATGCTGACTCAACATTAACATCCAGTAGGCCTGGTGTTACTGTTGTAGTGGGACTCTCTAAGTTTCATTTAGTCATAGGGCTTCTTTGGCTGCAATGCATTAAAGTGGACCTATCATGCTATATTTGAATAATATAGTGTAGGACCATACCTATATAAGGCATATTTATACTTTTTTTTTTTCAAAATACCAAACAGATCATGCATTTTAGCCATGCCTCATTTTGCTCAATTTGACATTTTTTAGATCTGTTTTAGCAAGGGCTGATTCTGTGAGAACAGCACCATCTAGAGGCCTGGCATATGTACTACAACGTCTCCAGCGCTTTCGAACGGCAATGGCCGTGGCTGTCTCCTCCTGATTGGTGGAGTTGGCCCAATAGCCGTAGCGCCACTGTCCTGACGTCAGGAAAGTGTTCAAATCTGGATCAGTTTTTATCAGATCCGTTGCAGCCCCTTTTTTAGAGATTTGGGTATGGAGGAAAATAGAGAGGGTTGTGTTTTCTGACACTTGGTGAGTTCCCTGGAACACCGGGGACACATATTCATGTATAAAAGACGTACAAAAGTGCATTTTGCATGATAGGTCCCCTTTAAGCAATGCAATGTGAGATAAGGAAAACACAAGACACTCATTAACCAAGGTCACAATATGAATCGATCCAGCAGAGCAATAACACAGAAGATCAACAAAAGATATGACATAAAATGAACTTACCAAAGCTGAAGTAGATGGTCAACTTCATTCATTTTCTTTCCGTTTTACTGATTTTAATCGCTATACACGCTGCTCTCTCTCGTCTCCTCTTCACATCTACACTTTTCGCGGCACACACACGTACTTATAGCCAATCAGCTCTCTGAATTATGAGATGACGTTTGGTGGGTATGGCAGCACAGTGACCCTATGGTGATTATTTGTTTGCCGCACACATTGAATAGAACAATACTCTGAGCATGCGCAGTGTAGTTTTTACATTACACGTTCATTTCTACAGCAGAGAGAGGGGCTTGCCCCACATGGCTCAACACGGCTCAATAGGCACTCTGTAGACACTAATTAGAAGAACGCAGACTAAAACAGCAATGTACAGACGAACCAGATGACTCAACATGATCTTAAAATATATTTTAACATGTATTTTATTTTACTTTCTGCTGACACTAGGTGGGGCTGTGCCTGCCCCTAATGACGAGTCGCCACTGTATACAGTAGTGATGTCATTATGTTACAGAAGTAAACAAAGGAGTGCAATGGAGGTGTTTCAGGCAGGGGGGGAGGGAGTGTTGGAGAGAAACTCCCTCTGGAGGAACACAAGGATGTTAGCCTTTGCGGGCTATATGCACAAAAACCTATAACACACTACAGGAAAGGGGAAACTCAAAAATGCATAATTGAGCTCATTTAATTTAACCTGCCTTGATTAGTATTCACACTTTAGCATTATCAATATGTTTCATTCGGCCTTTTTAATTAATAGTGCCAGTAATCACGTTCTAACAGCTCCTATAATTTTTCGCAGCCAGACAGCAAAGTGTTGCATTAAAAGTGTGAGAACAGGTTTCCTGCAGTTATCAGGTGCTTGTACAGATCCACTCAAACCATGTCCTCCTCTGTGGGAGTTTCATAATCATGTTTTACCTCGATGTGCACTGCACTTAAATATCTCAATGCCATTCTGTACATTCTTTGAAATGCTTGGAAAATGTTCGGCCACATTTTGAATAAGCATCGTTAGTCAGAAAAAAGGCACAACTTTTAAGAAAGCTTCATCAAAAATCATGAAATATAACTGTTATGAGCATGAGGTAATAGGATCTATGTTTTTATGGCAAACTTGATATATTTAATCAAATGTGCCAACTGAATACATTTTGCTAAAAAATATGTTTCGATTCTCTTCTTCAATTTTATTTATAAAAGGATTTACTTGAATAATTTTTTTTTGAAGTGTAGGATCATTTTCAGCCTTTCAACACATTTTAACCCATATCCTTGGTGGGGAGACAGTACAGTTTGAGCTTGTTCTCATTTTCAACCATTTCCAATCATTGCGTGATGAATTACATTTTTATTGTGAAAAAAGAGAGCTAGGCAGTAAAGCAGGTTTTTTGATCATCACAATAGCAATGAAATAATCAGGAATTTAAACCATATGTATTCTTTATTTTGACTAAACTGTGCCTTGTATGTTATTTTTGTTGAAAATATTTGCCATTTATCCACTACAAGGACATGCCATAATACATATACAAATAATCAGTATTCAGAAATGGCTGGTTAGGAAGATGATTCACATTGTGTGAAATGCTGCAGCGAAGTGCTCATTGCTCCTGCATTTCACAGAGCGGTGGTTCCCTCTAGTGACTGCAGCCTCCACTCACACATCCTGATCCTCACCATGCTCTCTCCACTGTCTCTCTCCACCAGGGAAAATGTTCCCAGATGTGCTACAACATCTTCATCGTGGAGACGGTGTGCGTGGCCTGGTTCTCGCTGGAGTTCACCTTGCGCTTCATCCAGGACCGCAGCAAGCTGGCGTTCCTCCGGCACCCCCTGAACCTGATCGACGTGGTGGCCATCCTGCCCTACTACATCACCCTGGTGGTGGACAGCACCTCCAAAGGGGAGAAGAAGCTGGGCTCTGGGAACAGCTACCTGGACAAAGTGGGCTTGGTGCTGCGCGTCCTGAGGGCGCTGCGCATCCTGTACGTGATGCGGCTGGCGCGCCACTCTCTGGGCCTGCAGACTCTGGGGCTGACGGCCCGGCGCTGCACCCGGGAGTTTGGACTGCTGCTGCTCTTCCTGTGTGTGGCCATCGCACTGTACTCCCCCTTACTGTACTTGATTGAGAATGAAATGGCCACAACGCAGGAGTTCACCAGCATCCCTGCGACCTACTGGTGGGCCGTCATCACCATGACCACAGTGGGATACGGGGACATGGTGCCACGGAGCATCCCGGGACAGGTGGTGGCTCTGAGCAGCATCCTGAGCGGGATCCTCCTCATGGCGTTCCCCGTCACCTCCATCTTCCACACCTTCTCCAGGTCCTACGTGGAGCTGAAGCAGGAGCAGCAGAGGGTTCTGCAGCGGAGGACTCACTTCCTGCTGAGGGGCCGCATGGCCGGCCTCAGCAGCAACCTCTCCTTAGAGAATGACATGACCTTTCCTATAAGGTCGTCTGACAGGCACGACTGATTGAACAATTTAAACGTTGACTTTAACTAGATGTTACATGTCAACAGATTACACATAATAGTATTAGGTTAGTTGAACACAATAATATTAAGTTTAAATTACAAATATTAAGTTCAAAGTTTCAACTTAATATTATTGCTTTCAACTAACCTAATACAATTATGTGTAATCTGTTGACATATTAAATGTATTCAAAGTCAACGTTTACATTTTCTGTGGATGGACAGGGAAGGACATACAACTGGGATTGGGATAGGAGAAGTCTGAGAAAGAGAAAACAGAAGTGGGTAGAAAGGAATATAGATAGAAGGGAGGAAGGAGCAGTCTTTATAAACAAGATCCATAAAGGAAAAGGGGAATTTTTCTTCCCAGAAATGCAGACATGCTGTGTAGCAGTGTACTTTTGGAAAACCAGAGAGGATTGGAGTATTAAATAAATGTTTCTATCAAAAAATCTTCTACCATGGCCACATAATATCAAATAACAGTCCAATTTACAGAATAATAATAATACATTTTATTTGAAGGCGACTCTCACGACACCCAAGCACAGCCTACAATTAATAAATAACACTATAAACAGAAAAAACATTATAAACCATACAGCATTTAAGAATACCATTGACTTATAGTGTCACAACAATCTTATTTTGAGATGCATTGTAAATCAGACATGTGAAATATGTATTTGAGATATAAAAGATAAGGTTTGGCTCACGTATGATCCAACAACATAGTGATGTTTTAATCTCTGATGTCTCCAGACGTTTAAATGGATTTAGTGGATTTGTTGATGTCATGTTCTCCTGGGAGTTCACCAGTGTCACGTAAAGGACGATGCTTTCTGCTTCTGTTAAGTCCCAAAGGTTAAATACTCAAATGTGACCCCTTAATCCACTGATTATTTTCTGAATGACTGTGCAAACTCTGAGAATTTGTTATATAATGTCCTATATATTCCCCCCGTCTGGCACTAACCAGCATCCACATATTAATTATGATGTATTAATTGTAACATTTCTCGGCTCACGAAGTTCCATATGCAGTTCTTAAAAAAGGTTTGGACATTGAAGATAGCATTGTCGTGCTTGTAATTACTGCAGTTGCTGTCCATAGCTGTTTATAATAATGACTTTGCTCCTTAAAGTGGATTTAAATGGAAATCTGTCTGTCATTGTCACTTCTTTATTTAATTTATTGTCCCAGAGGGAAATAATGGTTTTCAGTGAGAAGATGAAATTGAGCACGATAAAAAAACAACTGATAAAGACATGGTTCACATTTGGAAGACGCTCAGAAAATCCAAAGCGAAAACAGTGGGAGAAAGTAAATACAATTTAAAATGACTTATTTATTTCCATGCTTTATACTATATACTTCAAATTCAAATATTGCACTTTTTATTCAGTTAATTTTTTACATTTAAACTCGGATTAAGGTTTAAACCACCCAAATGTATGAGAGAGAGAGGTAACCAATGGCTTTGTTTACTTGAGTATCCTGTGCATAACCTTATAGTAAGGTGCATAAATCAAAAAAGGTCACATTTTCGTAACATAATTGTCCTTCGGTGAAGACCTTTACCTTAAACGAAAGATTCCTAACATAGAAAAGATGTAGTGTAATGGAACAACAAATGAAAAGTCATTATCTACATCGTCAATGTCAATAAAAAATGTAATCAATAAACAGGTCTGCCATAACACCTGCTAACCTCTAGTAAGCTATACGTCCTTAACTTTATATTTTAAAAGAAATGAATGAAAGAAAGAAAAAAACTCTGGCAAAGGCCATTCTTCTGATTGATGAATATTTGTATTTTTAATCCAAACAAGAGGTATAATTCTGTATTTTGAATGCAGGTAAAAAGTCTTCTGCAACTACTGACAGCAATAAACAGTCAGTACCAACCTGTAGTGCTCATGCATGAAAATAATCCCATTTAAAAAACAGATGTGTTCACATTTACACAAAGTCAATACTTCAAAATCATAAGGCTACACACACGACACTTTGCAACACTGTAGTAGTGCTATAATAGTGTTTTATGTAAAAACAAGAGTTGGCAAAGGTGTTTTGACCTTTTGCAGCTCATGCTTTAGACGTGTTTCCTCATTTGGACATAGGGTGGCAGCATTGTGTCACAAAAATGCAAGGAGGCTTACAATACAATATTGTTTTCACCACACAATGATAGAAAACGAAAACGTGTTATATGTGTACTGCTTCGCGCCTAATTTCAACCAATCTTAACTATCCTTCATTATGGCTGCACTCAATACATGTCTCACATTTATATTCAGCACTTTGACACAAGAAAGAGCTTTGCCTTATAGCTCAAAACATATACATTATGTGAAGCTGACTCCATACATTTTCAAAATCACAGCCTATAATAAAAACCCCTCCACCAAACTGAGCCAGGTTTGAACCTGCAGCCTCAGGTGAGCGGGGACTTCCATTTAACACCATTCTCCCAAATCCAGTACTCCACAGTGCATACAACCATCTGACCAATCAGAGCCTGGCAATCCGCAGAAGCCCCGCCCCCTTCTGCCTCTAAAATCACCTCCCAGTGTTTTGGTCCTGATTTGGCGTTGCTTCCTGCACACAGGCCGACAGTCGGTGGGAAAAGCCAGCTTTACACATGCACTCGGGTGTTTTTCTGATCTATATGTGAATGGAAGATGTTTTCCCAGCAGAGGAGCCTCTCCCCGTCATGACCTCCCCGGGCCGCCCCTCCACTTGAATGGGATTCCTGTCGCTCGTTTTTGGCACCGACTGTCACTGCTGCTGCTCCAGATACAAGACCTCTGATTTTTTTTTTGGGTTCTTTGATATTTTGGGTTTTCTCTTATCAGATCATTAATGGTTTGATACGAAATCTGCAAGTGTGATCGGGGAGAAGAGCGACGACGCCAGATCTCCAGTATCCTGCGGTTCAGGGTGAGTAGCTGTAAACTTGTTATTTTAGTGCGGGTGACTTCAGTAATGACAGGCAGGACAGACAGGGTCTCATTCAAAATGAATGAAGGGTTTGATCTCAACAGGACTGCAGATGTTGTTTGGAGATAGTCATCACTTTACCCTCCTTTTTAGACTAAAATGTCTTATCTATGACCTAAATTATCACCAACATCTTGCACTGTGATATTCCAATATGTTGTTTTGCTAGTAATGATCACACACTGTCATTTTCCCACTTTGTGATTCATCATAAATCACTTAAACCAGCAACTATAGTGTCTGAGAGTAAGAGTGACTCATCAGAGATTTTTTGTGTGTTTTTTAACACAAGCTGCAGCCTTTGATTTAGGCCACATACTGTACTACAGCCTCTGTTCTGCAGCACTTTTGGGAACATTAAGAGCTTAATCACACAGCACTCTTTCCCCTTTCATAATCCTCAGTTTTTAAGAGAAATGGCTCCCTGTGTGGAAGCCTTCACGAGACAATCTGAAAGCTGGCAGCTGCAGAGTTTTACGAGCTACCTGCTGTTTTATGTGTGAGTGAGAAGATCACAGCGTATGAATAAGACATATTGTGTATCTTTTTGAACCAGACTTGCTTTTAATAATGTTCTAGTGGCTAGGTCACTCAGAATGCCACATATTTTCTTTCCTCAGGATCCCACACACTTAAGAAATGGCTGTCGTATGCTTGGGATTAGTCTCTCCCACTCAGCATGACGCAAAGGCCCAAATATTGACTCTAATGTGGTGGAGACTAATAATAGAAGGTTTGCATTGAACTCACAGTCTGTAATTGATGTCCTTGAACATGTATATATCGATAAAGTATTTCCAAATGGTCTGTGTCTGTGACATGACCTTGTACACATCAGTCCAGCTCATGGGATAACTTTTGGGATAAAATTGACCCTGGTTTAGCGTCTAAACTAGAGTTACTGTCCGACGTTTGTTCAAGACTTCACTCTTTTTGAACATTGGCTGTTACAACAGTGCACTGGTGCAATTAAACTGAGTACATTGAATCAAGTATTTGAGCTATTTGTACTTTCCTTTTCATGCCACTCTATGCTTCAACCCAACTACAACTCAAAGGGAAAACGTTTTACTCTACTACATTTAACTTAAACTTAACTCTGCTCTTCAGGTTTCATATTTGTATGTAGTGTCTCTACTGTGACATGTCTCCATGCTTTAATGATCAAAAAGCTCTTTATATTCTCATACTGCCTGTGCTGCAGCACCTCCTTTCACCCTCTGTTTGAAACCAGAGCCCAGTCTGCTCTGATTGGTTAGCTGGCGTCTCTGTTGTGATTAGTCAACCACTTAGAGATGTCCCGCCCCTAATCCTATCACGGAAAATGTGTTGGAGCGCTAGCCAATAGAAGCGCCTATACGGAATAAACAAAGGAGTCTAATGGAGGCGTTTCAGGCAGGGGGGAACTTTGGGATGTTAGCCTTTACAGACCATTTACCTATACCACACTACAGGAAAGGGAAAACCCCCAAAAGCATGGAAGGGCCCCATTAAATCTTTGGTTACATTTATAATTCGGCAGTGGCTCAGTCAGTAGGGGCTTGGACTGTGAGCTGTAGGGTCGCCGGTTCAAGTCCCTGACCAGACCTAAAATAGGGAGTGTGGACTGCTACTTTGAGAGGTCCCAGTTCACCTCCTGCCCTGCCGTGGTGCCCTTGAGCAAGGCACCGGACACCCCCCTTCCCCCCTCACTCCCATTGCTCCCCGGGCGCTGTACAATAGCTGCCCACTGCTCCTAGTACTAGACTCCTGGTACTAGGATGGGTTAAAAGCAGAACACATGTCACTGTGTGCTGTGTGCTCTGCATGTGTGACCATTAAAGAGGGGGTTCATCCCTCCGATTCTATTCTCTATAATTCAGATTTCTTAATTAAAAAAAAAAACGAGAGTTTAAAAAAGATGATGTTTCGTTATGAATGAAATTAGCCAGCTCTTGAGATTGAAAGAAAAAGGATTGGCATTTGTACGCATTTAGGTTTTAATTCATTTATTTAGAACAGATTTAGTACATTTTGCAATTTGTACTTACTTATTTTTACTTAAGTTACAACTAACCCTAACCCCTAGAGTAAAGGACCTGATTACTTTCTCCAACACTGAGCAGTGGACATGTAACACAGCTTTGTGCTCTTGGCACACACTTGAACCTGCTGTGCCACTAGTGCCATGTGTTGTCACGGCTTTATAATATTGTGTATAAACCTGCTGAGGACTCCAGCTTGTTTGTGCTCTCTGTAATCCTTTCTGAATCAGAAGCATATCACAAGAAACATATTCCGGAGGCACCAATATACATAAGTCAATGAGAATAAAATCGCTATTGCATTTATTAGCAGTAGTGCATTAGAATAATCCTCCACAGATTTCCCTTGTTTGTATTCTTTTTGTTTTTTGCTGGAGGAATTATGATGTTTGGCAGCGGGCAGGCAAAAACACATTATATCCCCAGATGGATTCAATATCCTTAAAGTGTGTATCAGGCCAATGACATGCTGGGGATGAAGCCCTGTTGCGTAAAAACACCCAAGGGTACACTTGGCTTTTGCTTTCTGTTAGTTTTTTAGTGCTTTTCCTGCTAAATTCACACCTCTAACATGGTCGCTAAGGGACACATGGGTCGTGATGGGCTTTTCTAACAAGCCAAGATGACATTTTTAAGCATGCATTCTGGACAAGTGCAACCTGTGAGTGAGATGTGTTTCACAAAGTGGTACGAGATGGTGCATGGTGCTTTCTAACGGCCAGCTTTCAGGCTCCGCTGAGGGGACCTAAAGCTCCTTGGAATCCCATGAATGCTCTCCAGTGAAAGCCGTAGATGTTGATGTCAGCTCCAATGCCATTGGTGGAAAGTGGCTCTTGAGGCCGAAATTCCTGCTAATTGGCAACGCGTCTGTGGACTGGCTTCCTTTGTTCCCCCTCATACTGGAGTGGTCTGTCAGTCAGGGTGATACACTGGGCCTGGCATCAATGAACTTCTTGTTTCCGCAGCTATCCGGCCCTGGAGGATCGGCGGCTTCAAGACAAGTCGCTTCCACTTGGAAAAAATGCCTTTGTGCACCTATTCAGAAAGATGGAAAGGAACCGTTTAAGTTGAGTCTATGGAGAGGTTTTCAAGCATCCCAGCCAAAGTGTTTTAAAAGTGATGTGTGTGTTTTCCTCTGCACTGAAGTGAACTGAGCAGCGGCATTAAACAGACTCCGCTGTAGCTGGCGGTTTGCTGATTTCATCGTTTGATCTAGTGAGTGGCCCACTTTCCTTTAGGTCGGATGAGGATTCATTGGAAATGAGGACATATTGTATTTTTTAGTGATACAATAAAGAAAAACTAGCTTATTGGCCAGAGGACAGAAAATGAACAAGTCAGGGCTCTAGTAGTAGCACTTTGCCTCTTCTTTGTTGAAACAACACATTATTCCCCTTTGGCTTTGGAGTACTTAACAAACAAAACACAACAATGCCAGCATCAACCCCTCTTCAGTTTGCCAACGAGATGTGTGATCGACTCCGAGGGGAGAGAGAGAGAGTGAGCAAGGGGATTGTACGAACGAAAGGGGGGCACGGGATTTGTGATGGCTTCCTGCTGGCAAAAGCCTTTGAATTTTTCATGTGGCAGATACTAAACTTCTGTTGCTCTGGCCCAGATTTGGTGCTAATTAGTGCCCAGCCTCTTCCAAGGGCGTACAGTGGAGTATGGGAATGATAGTGCCACCTGTTCTCTCACTCTTCCTCCTGTTCTCACACATCTCTCCCAACCTGGCTTTATCTCTCTGTTTATGTGTCAGTGGCCTACTTTCCTTTCAGTCATTGTGTTCTTTACATTGTACACTTCCTCAGCTATTAACCTTACGCTTGAACTTCCTTGCTTATTCTACTTTACAGCCCTTTCCGTATTATATAACTTCCTGAATGAGTGACGGCAGCAAGTATACGTTTTCAACTTTCACACTTAAAGGGGTGTGTGTGGGAGAGAAATTCTCTTGGCATGAACTTTATTTAAACCATTGCAGACCATTCACATCCACAAAAACCTATATAACACACTACAGGAAATCGCAAACACCAAAAGCATAATAGGGCCTCTTTAAAGCCCCAAAGATGGTCCGTTGCATGCAGTAAAGGCAGTTGAATGATAAGGATGCAGAACTGAAGCGCTCTGAAACATCGCTCCGAGGGGCCTGTGCTCGCTGGCCATTTGAATGAAGTATCTGATAGTAGTTTGATGCAGACAAACAGAGCAGGGCTTGTATCCTCCCAGGATCCCTCGCCACTTCCTGCCTCTAGGCTCTGGGAACGGTCCAGGGTGACACAGGCCACGCATCTCCACTCAATCCACCCACTGTTGCCTCTGTGGAAAAGCGATCACTCTCACACCCTCATTCCCGTCGCTCCGTGCACATTGCTTGTGACAGGAAAAGCGTCTTTGGCATTTAGAAAGATGCCTCTATGTGTGGCTTTGTGTAGGCGCAGCTGTGCGGGGCTGGTCAGGATGATGAGATGCTGGGAAGAGCACATGCAGCTCTCCCCCCCCCCCCCCCCCTCTAAAAACTCCCCATCCTCTGAGAATCACTGCAGTATATGTTAACATGCAAGTGTTTTTATTCAGAGCGTGTACGCACAGATCGGCCCTGTCCATCCCAACCTCTGCCCTGATCTTATATCATCTGACTGAAACCAGATAACAGGAACGTATTTGTGTGGAATATCCTTTTACAAACACTCATTAAGGGGTGCAGCTACACAATATGATTTCAGATCCTCACACTGAGTCCCATGATGCATTGTAAAGCTGAATCAGAGCCTGCATTACTACACAAATAACAGAATAGAGCTGAAATGATTATTTGTTTGAATGCTTTGCCAACATTTGACATAATTGACTTCTTTTTCATGCAATAATGCAACATTATACCTAGTGACTGTCTTCATGTGATGAAAAACG